CTGAGTGTATCCTCCACAGTAAACCAGCGATCTGGGAGGGAATGTTCTCTGAGCCGCTCCAGTAAATTCATGAAACCCGGGAGAGGTCATGGGGACCTTTACCTAGAGCCGGTCGGTCAGAAGCACAGGTGACAACCTAGACACGACTGGCATCTGAAGTGCTGGGGGCAGTGTCGTGGGACTGAGGCCTGAACCTGTGGGGTCTGCCGCCATAGTAGAGGACATGGTGTCAGGAGTGACAGAACTGCAGGACACCCGCTGGTGTCTAAGAATTGCTTGGATGTGCGGGAAAACCCCCGCATGCTGGAGTTGGGTGCAGAACCCTTAGGGTGGGGTTCCTTCGTGCCCACGTCTCTGCTCGCTCGTCTGCATGGCAGTTACAGCGATGGGGGAGTGGGTGCAGCCTCGTCCCTGTAGACACCAGGCTGGAAAGGCCCAGCTCAGTTTTCATGCATCCGGCGGTTTTAAAACAGCCTTGAGCGCCTGCTTCCCGACAGCTGCCACTTCAAAGCTGGGCTCGAAGCCCCACTCCACTCCCCTCCCCGCTCGGTGGGGACTTCCTGGCCTGGGCTGCAGGGCCGTGGGGTACTCACATCGCAGCCACGCACAGCGTCCACGGCCAGCAGGTCGTTGCCGTGACGCAGCTGGGAACGGACCACATCCTGGGCGGCCCGCAGCTCAGCCAGCTCTGGCTCACAGGCGGGCCAGCGCCCAGCCTCCCTGAGCAGGTCCTCCAGCAGCAACGCGTACTTGCCCATGCGCTGCACCGGCTTCAGTAGGTATGACGCCAGGTCCATCTTGTCACCCAGCGCCCGCTGCTTGTCCTGCAAGGCCGGGGCCAGGGTCAGCGGGGCGAGGGTCGGCAGGGGTGCGGCCAGGCCAGGGGTGAGGGTCAGGGGGGTGAGGGTCAGCGGGCGAGGGTCGGCGGGGGCCAGACCAGGGGCATGGCAGGCTGGGCTGGGGGTGACCTTGAAGACGTGGCTATAGCTGCAGAGCAGGGCGTCGGACCGGGGCTTGTTCTCACTGTAGAGCGCGTACATCCCAAACTGCTCCTCCTGCAAAGGGGGCTCTGGTCACATCAGTCCTACCACGGCTCTCACTGTGGCAGCGAAGAAATGACACAGCACTGAGTTAAGGCCTCCTCAGCTTCCCCTCATGGTGGTGCTCTTGGGGGCATCGCCAGGGGTCCCCACCGGTCACAAGTCAGTTTGGGGGAAGTGGTGTGAGGCCCACTCACAGGGCAGGCCTGGGAGAGGCGTGGGGAGCACTGATATTTTAATTCATGGTCAAGAACCAAAGTTGTCTGAATGCTTAAAATCCTCACACTCACTCTGACATGAAACAACACAGCAGGTGCAACTGAAAGAAAAGCTGAAAAGACAGAACTGGGATTTCTGTCACGCAGTGTTTTCTTGTGATTAATTTTAATGATACTGAGGCAAATGGGACACCTGCCCACAGCATGAGCCCCTGGGTGCCCAGTGTCCACAGCAGTGCTTGGTGGCACTGTGACAGGCATCTCCTTTTCATAGTGAATTAGGGATCCTATTAGAGACCCTGACAGGGAGGGTGTTGAGGCTGAGCGAAGAGAGGGCAGCTCCTCGAGCTAGACGGTGCCTCCCAAGTGCCGCTGCCAGGTCCCACAGGCTCTCCGCGGCCGCCGGGAGCGGAAGCCGGGTGGGCCGTAGGCAAACCGATTTGGGGAGCTGCTTTTGGCCCCTGGGCTCGCAGGGGAGGGAGTGGGTGGTCCCCGGACACAGCAGCGTGATGATGTCGGCAAAGCCCCAGCGCCCTTGGACTCTCAACAGGGCTGCAGGCTGGTGACCCGAGTAGAGCGTAGGTGCTACAGAACCTACGTACGGGCTTGTCTGTCCTGGGCACCCGTGTGTTGACGGCTCTGAAGGTGCTGCTGGGACACGCTCCCTGATCTTGGACCACAGGCTCCCAGGGGCCACTCCAGACTCGCCTCCACAGTGAGCTGGGCTGCTGTCACCTCCGCCCACCACACCAGGGACTCACGTGTCTCAGGAACCCGCGGCCCACGGCCAGGGGTTGCTGCCGGCAGTGCTCCAGCTCCGGGAGAAAGTGCTGGCAGTGGAAGCTGTGCAGCTGTTCCCAGTTCCCGAAGATGGTGCCACGCTCCCCCCGTAGGCTGGGCGGCAGGTCCGCCCTCTCCATCTCTGGAAAATAGTTGTCGATGACGTAGCCTAAGGACCTGACATATTCCCTCTCTGTGGAGATCATCTCGGCCATGATGTGCTGCAGGCGGCTGCTGGAAGACAGAGAGCGCGAGGACGCTGAGGGACACATGAGGACACGCACACGTGGACTGACATGCACGAGCACCCAACACCCTGAGCGTCTCCCTCAGGGCGACCTGGGGCTGCTCCTGATACAGAGGACGGAGAAAGGTGACAGATGCAGGGGAGGGACGTGTGTCAGAACAGTGTCCATGAATCCCTTTGGAAATGGAAAAGCAGACACCAGGAGGCTCTCCATCCACAGCGAGTCTGAGGGTTCTCACGTCCACACAGCCGGACCCCAGCGCCCTGCAGTGAGGGTGATGCTCGGGGGGGGGGGG